CACAGACACACACACACACACACACAAACAGACACAAACAGACAACACAGACATACACACAAACAGACACACACACACACACACAGCCCACACCCACACCCACACCCACACCCACACCCACACCCACACCCGCACCCGCACACGCACACACGCACACACGCACACACGCACACACGCGCGCCCACGCGCACGCACGCGCACGCACGCGCACGCACGCGCACGCACGCGCACGCACGCGCACGCGCACGCACGCACACGCACGCACACGCACGCACACCCACGCACACCCACGCACACACACCCACACACACCCACACACACCCACACACACACACACACACACACACACACATCAAGCGAGCAATCGAGCCAGCGCGCTCGCTTGCTCGCTCGTGCACACGCACACACACACACACACACACACCCACACCCACACCCACACCCACACCCACACCCACACCCACACCCACACCCACACCAACACCCACACCCACACCCACACCCACACCCACACCCACACCCACACGCACGCACACACACACACACACACACACACACACATCACACACAGAGAGAGTGACACACACACACGCACACACACACACACACCCACGCCCACACACTTACGCAACCGCAAAGGCTGATAGTAGTACCAAGTGCCAGTCTATCGAGCCTGCAGGAGTCCTGCGATCCGAGACTTCATATGTTCACACTCTGCAACACGCGCATGCCAGGTACACTGCGACGGCCAGAGGATCAGACTGCTCAGTCCAGCGCTCAGTACCGACTGGGCCTAGCGTTGCTTGCTTCATTCAGTAGTACCAGAAGTGTGTTAGTGTTAGTGTTAGGCTAGGAGGCTAGGAGTTCTGCCTGTTTGCATTGCGGCATTGCCGTGCCATATCATGACATGTCATATGATTCGCACTGCTGCGCTTTGCACGGCTATGCACTCCCTGCATGCCGACTGTGTGCTTGGTTCAACTTGTCTCAGGACTAGCTGACTTGCCCGTACTCGCCTAGTGGGGTACTTGGAGGGTCGGTTGCTGATCATGGCTGGGCATGTGCCAAAGGCCCGTGCAAGGAATCCTTCAGCGGATGCGAATATGTTCGCACGTGTATTTGCGGCTGCCTCGTCATCCTCGGCGCATGCCAGTGAACGTGCAGATGCTGATGCAGGCAAGCGGCAAGCGGGTAACCGGCGGTAACTGGTAACTGTAACTGTCGGTAACTGGTTATGGCGGAATGGCATCATAGCACTCCAGGCCCCCCATTCGGTAGGACATGTCAGGATAGCACGCACACACAAGCTGAGTCATTGAGTCATGCTGCTGCGAGAGGCACTCGCAGTGGCCGGGGCGGCGGGGACGGTGCATCAGCAAGTGCTGCCGGGAAGGGTGTTATGGCGGTGGCTCCGAGTGTGCCCGGCGCGGGTGGGGCCCCAGGTCAGGACGCGCAGGACTGCTTCGATTCTAGGGTCCAGCAGTCCAGCAGTTGAGCAGTGACATGACATTGAAGCGGAATGACGGCAAGTTTTTCGAGCCGGAGTCCACCGGCTGTTGTTGGGGAGGTTTAAATCCTGCGAGCCTTTGAAGCACTGCCTGACAGGACAAACTGAAGCATCTTTTGGGATTGCAGTCCAGCAGGGATGTGGACTGGGACCACGTCACAGCAGGGCCCGAAGCATTACATCCCTTTCAACGAGGTTTGTCCTTCTTTCGCTCGTTTGTGGAGAAGTCAGTTGGGGACGGCAATGGTGCAAAGACAATGCAAGATCTTAAACAGTGGATCCAGGACTGCAGCCATTCCTCAGCCTTCTCTGGCATCGGGTCGCCTGAAACTGCTTTGCTGAGCCTGCATCTCACAGTGCAAGCCTTGTTGCCTGACATCCAGGCGGCAGCGCTGTTTCATGCTAGCCCTAAAAGCTTAAAAGCCCGAAGGATGTATCCATGCATCCATGATGTGAGCATGGAGTAGTACGGCTTAGGTAGGGCGGTAGGGAGCATGCCAGCATGCAGTCACGCACATGACATGAGACATGACATGACTCTGACATGACATGACTCAGACAGACTCAGACATGACAGTGCCCACAGGCCCACAGGCCCACAGAGCACATGAGCATGAGGCACATGTGGCATCACGTGGCACATGATGCTTCATCATGATGCGCAGCGTTCTCGTGGCTTTCGATACTGGGCCTGTGCCTGCCCCCGTCTCGCTCGCGACATCATGTGCATGTGACCAATGTTTCCGTCACGAGTCATGCTCATGATGATGCTCATGCTTGCTTGCGGCTTGCGTGCCTGCTGCATGTTGAAACGTGGCTATATATAAGCCATCATAATATGTTTAGACGGCCACAGTGCCACGCGCAGCACAAAAGTCCGCGTAGGCCAGGTAGGCACGCAGGCGAAAACGCGAGAGGGATACACAAAGCCAAGTCCGCTACGCATGTCAGTCCTCACATCTTGATCCTTGAAAACTGACAATCTTCCACGTTACGTCCAGTCGTCCAATTCTGCTCTTGACGCGACAGGTGCCTCAACCGTGCATCCGGAGCTTTATCGAGTATGACCCAGAGTGTCAGGAGGAGCTACTGCTCTGGGCAAAGCACCTCGGAGAAGACACATGTGTCTTCTCCGACATAAGTTCCTTTTGGAGAAAGGAGCTTCATGAAGTTGTGACGCAGCTGCAGAAACAACCTGCTCTAGCCGTCAGCGTCTTGCTGCCACTAATGAAGGAGCGGAAGGCTGTCAAACCAAAGGCATGGTGCATTCGCCACCAAAGGCATTGTTTCTTGCAGGCGGCGAAATCGCATACCGCAGGATCTTCATGCACTGCCTACAGCAAACAAGGCAAGCAAGAGGGCCTGACCGACCCGACGGTCATCCATTTGTTGGCATGGATCGCGTTGAGGCGCGAGGTCCAGGAAATGGAAATAACCTTAGAGAATGTACAGGACTTCCCAACAGAGCTGCTGCACGAGACGCTGGGAGACCTTTACATCATCGAACATGTGCTGATGGACCCCACGGCGTACGGGTACGAAGCTCAGCTGTGGGCGACATGAAACAAGGCAGTGGGCAGTGTGTCTCTAGCTGGCCCTTGCTTGAATCTCGCAAGAGAGAGAAAGAGAGAGAGAGAGAGAGAAAGAGAGAGAGAGAGAGAGAGAGAGAGAGAGAGAGAAAGAGAGAGAGAGACAGAGTGGCACGGAGAGTGACAGAGTGTCGAGATCAAAGAATCCAGGTGGCCGTGCACGCGATTGCGCAAGTATCATCGTCTTCGTCACAAGGGAGCCCGACTGGCGGAGATAAGTCCGTTGGCTAGGTTCCAACGTCGATTCTTTTCGGAGTCCATGACCATGTCGTTCCGCGAGTTCTGGTTTCAGCACCAGTACAAAGACGGTGTCTTGCCAGACGAGTACGAGCAGGAACTTAGATGGGCACAGGAACGCAAACTCTCGATGCATCACATCCGCGACGGCAAGGATCAGGACGCCAGGAGAGAGACACTGGCCGCATTGGTGGAGCACTATGGCAGCGACCGGCTTTCAAAGGTGCAGGAATCTGCTTGCAGCCACGTTTATTATTCATGGTTCTTGGTAGAGTTTGAACGTTTGCATGTTTGCATTGCATTGCAGAGCAGAGCATCCGTGTAGCGACATTCATGACTTGTGACCGCGCTGGGCGCTGGATTGTCTTCCCACTGTTTCTGCACATGACATCATCATGACATGTCTGCAAATGCATGATTATTTATTTGCCTAATTCTTCGCCATATCTGCAAGTGCGTGATTCCTTCTTGGCCATGTCAGCACACATGCAGGCCAGCATGTGCCAGCTTAGCCTGTGACTCTGTGACCACGCTTGCATGCCAGCATGTGCATGCCTAGCTTTGCCCGTGACTCTATGACCATCGTGCTGGAAGTCAAGTGGTTGTCAGTCTGTCAGTCAGTCCTTTGTTAGTCTGTTAGTGATTGTTTGTCAGTTCATATGAAACTAATAGAGCGACAGGACTTGCTAGACAAGGAGGACCCGCACAATGCAGAGCCTTTCCTCAATTCCTTGAACGTCTACGAACTTGAGAATTTGCATGCCTACCGTGAGAACTTCTGATCAAATTTTGTGTTTGTACTCGTACCCTTATTTTGATTGAACAGTTTGGTAGCTTTTGGACATGTAGCTTTGAGTGCATGGAATAACCATGTTACGACCGACGTTTACAGGCTCAGAGTTTGCGTGAAAGAGGATTGTTTTCATGGTAGCGGAGCACTGGCTGACCAGTGCTTCGGAAACACGCTTGTGGGTTTCCGTCACTTTAGGTGTCCAGGGGCCCAGGCTTTGAAATCCTCTTTGACTTTTCGTCTTCGGTGAAGTTAGGTAGGATCGCAATCCCGGCTCTTGACCGGACGAGCCATATCCTGCTTGAACAAGCCGAGTGGCAATCACGGCGGCGAGTGAAGCTTCTGCTGAAGCATTGCGAGAGCGGATCAGACAGCTCTATCTTGAACAACTGTTGCAGCGGCCCTGCCCAGAAGGCCGCACGCGCGCAGGTTGGTGCAAGATTCTTCACGGGTTTCAGGAGGCTTTAGATACTAAGCTTGAGCGACTTCACACAATTTCTGAACTGCATTGTTTTGCCCTTAAGTGCTTAAAGGATCGCGATCTTCGAGAAGCTTACATTGGGTTTTGTGCAGCAGACACCGCAGAGTTTGCCATACCAGACGGTGTTGTTGAAAGTTGCGTGCACCCGACTGAAGAGCATTCTGCGTTTGACAGGGACCTAGAGCTGTTTGAGCAGACAAGTTCCTCTCGAGGTTTTCAGGAGTTGAAAGATTCGCCAGCAGAGCCGATTGAATTGCGTGAGCCTGAGCGTGGAGTGTTCCAGTGCCTGCAATTATCTTCTTCTGCTGTTATTGATTTAGAGCCCAATCAACCAAGTGCAAATTCATTGCAGAGTGGAAGCCGCAGTGTGATTGACCTTGACTGATTGTTGAAACAATGGCTGATTTAGATGATGATGATCTTGGTGGTGAGGGACCGACAGGGCCTCCAGCCTCAGGGAGTGGAGGACCATCAGTTGGACCGCAGCTTCCTCAGATGAGCACGAATCCGTTTTCGCCATCGGCAGGTGGTTCAGTGCCAAATCAGGTAGTACTTGATGTTGCTCAGTTTCAGCAGATCCTGCAGACAATGCAAGGCCAAAGTCAGGCTGTTCTTGCAGCGGCAGGTGTAGCGAGTGCAGCGTCCCCGAGCAGGAGTTCAGGGACACAGGGCTTTAGTGATGCAAACCGCATCTTGAATAGGCCCGCATGTTTTGGAAGCACTTCGCATGACAGTGACTTGGGGTCGTGGCTTGATTGGGCACATGCCTTTAAGGCTTGGCTTATCTTCGCCGACCCTCAGTATGAGATTGAGCTTCAGACAGTCGAGTCAAATCTTGATGTAGAGAACCCCACCATGCCAGCTGAAACTGCAGAGCGGTCGCGCCGCTTGTATGCGATACTTAGCAGTCTGCTGCAGCACAAGCCGAAGATGTTGTTGCGACAAGTGCCGAACCGCAACGGCTATGAGACTTGGCGGCAGCTGGTCAACATCTACGCACCGCGATCGAAAGTGCGAGGACTTGCACTGCTGAATGCCATCATGTCATTTCCCCCGTTTGTGAAAAGCAAAACGACCAGGGAGCAGGTTGACGGTTTGGATCGCCTTGCCCAGGAGTATGAAAGGGTCTCAGGAGTGGCTGTGAATCCAGATATTCTCCTCGGGACTTTACTTCGGGTTTTGCCGGCGCACTTGAGAAACCACATTCAGCTTCAGATGAAAAGTGACACCAGCTATGAGCAGGTCAAGCAGTTCATTCTGACATATGAAGTGACGACCAGCAATTGGTCGGCGTCCAAAGTGCAGCAAAGCTTAGGAATAGGCCCCTCGGGTGACCATAGTGCCAGTGATCCCGTACCCATGGATGTAGATAGGGTCGCTAAGGGGAAACCTAAAGGCGGCAAGGGCGATGGTCGTGGAAAGGGTGGAAAAGACAAAGGTGGAAAGGGCGGCAAGCCCAATGGCGGGAAACCGAATCCCGGTGGCGGTGGAGGCAAGTCTCAGAATGCCAACCAGCCGAAAGGCGGCAAAGGAAAGGGAGGCAAAGCACAAAAGGAGACGCGAAAGTGCCATCACTGCCATAAGGTTGGACATCTTGCCAAGGATTGTTGGCTGCTGCATGGCAAAGGCAAAGGCAAAGGCGTGCATCAGGTTGCAGAGGTAAACCCTTCAAGTGCAGCGAGCGAGGCACCCACCATCACGACATCAGGTGGAGCGGCCAGCACGAGTGGAACAGTGCGGCGAGTTCAGGTGTTTGACTTGAGTGCGCCCGCTGACTGGTTCATTGGAGGGCATGTTCGTGCTGTCACATGTGCCATGCAGTCAGCTCGGAATCCCAAGGCAGTTCAGAGCCCAGCAGGTCCCAGTGGCCAGGTTGCGATCGGCCAGGCGTGCAGCAGCGACATTTTGTCACCAGAATTTCTTGAGATTGTCCGAATGCTGGAAGGTTCATGTTTGAACAGTGCAGAGCCAGTGCGCGTTCTTGAGAGTAGCGATGCAGTCAGCTCGGAATCCCGAGGCAGTTCAGTCCCAGCAGGTCCATTTTATTTTGATCAGAGCACAGTGCCACAGGTGTCCCAGGCTGCGCCAGCAGCAGATCAGAGCACAGTGCCACAGGTGTCCCAATTTGACATTTCGGCCGATGATGATTCAGGATCGTGGGAGCACGGAGTTTCTGTGCATGAGCTCAGCACTCTCAAGCGCTTGGAGCCCAACAAAGGCTTTGTGTATGCTGTTCAGACAATCCAAGAGTTGCCCTCAGCTGACGATGCCCTGGATGTGATTTTGGATTCAGGTGCAGACATGAGTTGCTTGCCTCTTGAGTATGCACAACATGGTTTCGACCACGGTCCTCACAACTTGCAACTGCGTGATGCGCAAGGCGAGCCGCTTGCTGTGAACGACCTTCGTGAAGTTGAGTTTGTCGTTGAGAGCAGCACAGGGGAACATGTGGTGTGGCGAGAAGTTTGTGCGATCGCCCCAGTGACTCAGCCTCTCTTGTGCAAGGGCAAGCTCATGAAAGCAGGTTGGTGGCCCGTCAGACAGCCAGACATGGCTCTTGAGCATGACAGCGGTGTGAGGGTTCCGATTTCTTTCAAAGGAAATTCCTTGTGCGTTCGAGCAAGCATTTTCAGGGTTGGCCAAGAATCCTTGAGTCCAGCAGGGCATGTGATGTTTGTCCAAGCATCAGTTTGCAATGAAATGGCCGATGCGAATTTTGGATGGCAAATGTCAGGCACGGGAAACTTGTACTTTCGTGGCAGGAGCACTCACTACATTGATCCGTCGATCATTGCGCCAGTGGGGTGGCCCTGCAGAACCACTTTGGTCAAGCCGTGCACACCTGATCATAATGCCTGGATTTTGCTTGAGCATTGCGTGCACTGGGGTGAGTTGCGAGAGCTTGCGGCCATTTTACCGCACGGAGAAAGTGATGTAGTATGCATCCTCTCTTCGTCACGTGAAGAGTTGTCCGAGTTTGGAGTGGAACCTCACAGATCAACGCAAGGGCACATTGATTGGTCTGGCCCGCAACCTGGAGACCCAGATGCTGATGAGCTTGCAGATTACGAGCCTTCCGAAGCCGACATGCAGGACACTTCTGCTCCACAGTTGGTGGAGGCGATGCCAGGTGTGCCTCAGGTCCACAGGGATGTGGAGGTGTTGCCAGATGCCGAGGGCGTCACAGGCGAGGCGCCAGTGCCAGGAAGCAGCAGTGACATTCTTGTGTTTGAAGGCGTTGAGCTTTCCCTGCAGAGCACATTGAGTGTGATTCGTACGGCATGCAAGTCGGCTGGGATATCCGTTTCAGGGAGCAAGCAGCGTTGCCTTGATCGCTTGAGGGGTTACCTTGACAAGCAGCAATTGGCCCTGAGTGCCGAAGTTGCTCAGACAGTCGGAGATGACAGTACGCGTGAGCCGAAAGGGCAGTCCGTCACCAAGGCCCCAACAGAAGCCGAGAGGCAGTTGCATGAGCTGACCCATTGGCCATTCCGGCCATGGTGCGATCACTGCATGGCCATGCGTGGTGTTGAGGACCGGCATGAATCACTGCCGGGGAGTGCCGACACTGAGGTCCCGATCATTAGCTTCGATTATGCCTTCACCAGTGTGTCAGGTGCCGAGGGCCAGGGCAATGCAGCTAAGTTGACCGTTCTGGTTGCACATGACACCAGCACCGGCAGTGTGCTAGGGCTTCCTGTTGCAAGCAAGGGGCGCGAGGATCTGAAGTTCAGTGCAATCGAGCTTACAAGGTTCGTGCAAGGCTTAGGCCACAACAGCATTTTCCTTTGCTGTGACAATGAGCCCTCCACGTTGGCTCTTCAAAGTCTTGTGGTCAATGTTCGGACCAAGCTCGGGTTCAAAACCATGATCCGTGATGCGCCGGTGCACTCGCATGCATCAAAAGGCTATGTGGAGAAGGCCATAGACTTGGTGAGAGGTCTCTCCAATGTCTTGCTTGATCAGGTGAGAGTCAAGTACAACTTGAGTGCTGAAACCATCAGTGCAGATCACCCTTTGATGGCATGGAGCTATGTTCACGCAAGTTACATCTTGAACAGGTTCGGAGTGAAAGGCGGAGCAACGGCATTCGAGCGTGCCACTGGTTACCGTTTTGCATCCAAGCTCGCCTGCTTCGGAGAACCGGTTTGGGGTTTTAGGCGTGGAAAATCTAAAGGGGATCGAAAATGGCATAGGGCAGTATTCTTGTCGAAAACTACAACAAACAATATGTATATCTTGATGAATGCCCAGGGCGTCTGGCTGACACGATCCATCAGACGCAATGCCAAGCCTTGGTCGGATGAAGTGAACTTGATTTTGGAAGGAAAGGGTTTCCCTTGGAATTACCAGTTGGGAGTTCTTGGAGCGAAAATTTTCCCACAGCCACGGAATCGTGTTCCAAAGCCGGCCGAGGACGCTGATGAGGTGTTTGAACAGCAGCAGAGTGCGCAAGTTGATGTGTCAGGTGCCAGAGGTGATGAGGCGCAGGCAGTTGCATCAGGAATGCCGAGTGTGGCGGGGATGGCGGGGATGCCTCCGCTTAGCAGCCAGCCACCGAACCCTGCACCATCCTCCAGAGCCACATTGCTTCTTGATCGTCACGACAGAGGGAGTGCGAGTGTCCCAGGCAGTGTGCCAGCGAGTGTGAGACCTCCTCCTCCTGCGCATGCTGCGGTGAATGAGTCACCAATGGAAGTCATGGGGACCGACCCACCGACATCCTCTGATTCATCTTCGTCTTCCTCTCCAGAAGCCTTGCCCACTCAGCCTGTGTTTGATGACAGCACCATGCTTGCTGAGGTGGTAGAAAGTGTTCGAGCAGGTGCCAGCACAGGTCGACAGGCTGAGGCAGAGCCAGATGAGTCCCATGCAGCAAAGTTTCAGCGGATCGCCCGAGTAGGCCGTGAGGACTTCCCAATCAATGATGAAGTTTTGGAGTCCGCCGCAGAATGGGAAGATGCAGCACAGTATGTGCAGCTTGGAGAAGATGCCGATGCAGAGCTTGATCCAAGCCTTACCGCTGAAGAGGCAAAGCTTCTTGAAGATGAAGACCTTCTATGGTTCGAGGAGATCCCAAGCCTCAGTGACGAGGAGTTGTCAGCCTTGGATTACGTGGCAGACACTTTTGAGGTGAAGCGACTTCTTGGAAAACAAGTCTTGGAGGAAGTCGGAGACAGCTTTGATCTCAGTGGTTACAAGGAGCTCTCCACGAAGTTCGTGAGAACGTGGAGGCAAAAGAAACGGCATGGGCGCATGATGTTCTTTCGTAGATCACGCTTGGTTGCAAGGGAATACAAGTGGATGGAGCGTGACCGGGAAGGTTTGTATGCCCCGGCGACGTCGTCGCTCACCACGAAACTTCTGCCATGGCTGTTTTGCGAGATGAACAGGCGTCAGGAAGGTGCAGCCACAGACGATGATCCCATAGGCGTCGTGGCTCTTGACATAAAAGATGCTTTTCTTTGTGTCCCACAGGAGCGTCCCATGCTGGCCAAGATTCCGGGTTTTCCTAAAAGGATGCGGTTCCTCAAGATGCTGCCAGGGCAGAGAGACGGAACGGCCAGGTGGCATTCGTTCATCATGGAATACATCCGCGAGAAGCACCAGTTGTCTGTGTGTGCTGAGTGCCCTTCCTTGTACAAGCTGAAGGATGCGAAAGATCGCTCCAATCCGGGTGTGATCCACGTCGACGACCTCTGCCTTGTTGGGTATGTGAGGTGGATCTTGCAGCAACTGGTTCCCAGTCTTGAAAGCACTTTTGAGCTGTCGTATGAGGTTGCATGCAAGCCCGGGGATTCCTTTAAGTTTCTTAAAAGGGAGCACGTTCTTCTTGAAGATGGTATCTTGATCAAGCCATTGTCTGATCATGCAGTGAACATGTGCAATCTTCTTGAAGTGCCACTGCACAAAAGTGCCGACACCGTGCACAAAGGACATCTTGGTGCCCGACACCAGCAAGCTGCTGGACAGTGCGAAGGCTGCGCGCTTTCGCAGCGCAATCGGGATTGCAATGTATGTGTCCCAGGATCGACCCGACGTTGCCTTCACAGTGAGGATTCTGTCTCAGAAGCTCCGAGAGCCGACAATGCAAACTTGGAGTTCGGGTCAGAGGTTGGCATCGTACTTGGCGTGCACCACAGGTTACGCAAGCAAGGTGCATGCCCGAGGTGACAAGCTTAGCATTCTTGAGCCTTCCGATCCTGGTGGAGCGCATGATGGAGTGCTGCTGGAGGTGTTCTGTGATGCAGACTGGAGCGGCAACAAGCAGAATCGCCGCAGCATGAGCAGCAGCTCGTTCTTTTTGAACAGCTGCTGCGTCTATACTTCGTGTAAGAGCCAACGCTGCGTAAGCCTCAGTTCCACTGAAAGCGAATTTTACGCCTTGGTGTCCGCGGCCTGCGACGGCATCTACTTGAAAAGAGTTCTTGAATACCTGCTTGAACTACCGGTAGATCTTTTGATGAGGACTGATAATGCAAGCTGTCGCCAGATATCTTTGAAGCAGGGCGTATCAAAGATCAGGCATCTTGATGGAAGGTTCCTCTGGGTGCAGGAGAAGACCGCGGATGGTACACTGAAAGTTGGCTCAGTCGACGGGCGATGGAACCCGTCAGATCTTGGAACCAAGGTCCCGGCAACTGGGAGTCGCTTGAGAGCATTGCTTTGCATGCATGACTTCGTTGACTGTGCCGGTGATTGCATCCAAGAGGTAGGCCGTGGCGACTATGATCAGTTGGTCGAGTCGTTGCAACACTGCAAGGACACAGCCCGTGTCCGGCGATTGATCAACAAGTCGCTGAAGACCAATGGTTTGAGCAACAGCAATCTTGTTTTGATGATGGTGAGCTTGATTGCAGGTGCAGATGCAAGTGGCACGAGGCGTGATGTGAGTGTTCAGACAGAGCCAGAGGCAAGATGGTTCAGCGTTTGGGTGACCGGTTTGGTCATCCTCGTGTCTCTGTTGAGTGTCATGCTGAGCCTTGAGCGGCTGCGGGCCGATCGCCGCAGGGACGATGCAAGCGCGTATAGGACCACCAGTGCCGAGCCGAGCACGTCTGTGCCAGAGTATGGGCGTTGGAGTGTGATCACCGCAACCCTTTGCGGTGTGCCTTCGCTTGTGTGCTTGATGCTCATGATGCAGCTACGCAAGTTGAGATTCTTGCTTGTGACAGAAAGGCATGAGACCGATCGCTTGCAAGGAGTCATCAATGAAATGGACTATGACCGCATGATGTGGGCAGAGCACCATGCACGTGAGGGTGCATCAGCGTCATCATCAGGTGTACCGTTGCAAGTTGCATCCCACAGTGGACGTGTGGGCGATGTGCCAGTGCATACGCCAGAGTTGCATGTTTATTGCACTGCAAGGCGAGGCAAAGCTTACCATGCGAAGCGCGGATGCACATGCTTGAACAACGCTGATGAGATCCTGCGACTTGGCTTAGCAGAGGCCAAGGAACGTGGCTATCAGCCATGTGGGCGATGCTTCGGAGGCAATCGCAAACAGAAATGAACGAATCAGCACTTTCTTGTGATGCTGGCAACCCGCTTGAGATATGCTCATGATGCAGATGCATTGGTCATCTTTGTACATAGTCAGCGGCGTGAGCCTTCGGGAACACTTCGTTGACGGATGATTGTAGATAGACTACTTGAGCTTGAACGGATGTGGGGGCCAGTGTTCTTGAATGCCGCAGCGATGCATTTGTGCATCACGTGCAACACAGCATTTTGCTGTCAATCTTGATTATTCCGAATCAACTTCGATGGCTGTGGAGCAGCCTGAACCCGCAGGGGAGTGTGAGCTTCCTCACGGTAACTAGGCCGTGACAATCTTCAGAGTGCTATCTTGAAGAGAAAGCACATGTGGGGCGCAGCATGCGCATGAGCCCGCATGAATGGCGTCCTCTTGCGTCTGTCAAGAAACATTTCGTCTCAAGCTGACCCTAGCTTGTGGATGGAGTGGTCGCGTAGTGTACAGTTGAGCCTAGCAAGATGGCAACACGCCATAAAACCTTTAGCTACTTAGGTCCGCTACTGCAAAACGTACTCGTACTGTTGTTGATGCAAATACGAGTGCTCAGGTGCAACACGCATTTGGGCGGGGTGATCAAATTTTGTGTTTGTACTCGTACCCTTATTTTGATTGAACAGTTTGGTAGCTTTTGGACATGTAGCTTTGAGTGCATGGAATAACCATGTTACGACCGACGTTTACAGGCTCAGAGTTTGCGTGAAAGAGGATTGTTTTCAACTTCCCCGGTGAAGCATTCCAGCTCAACCAGAACGCTCGTGCCGGGCGTGGCATGAAGAGTTCTGGTGGTGCTTTGCAGACGCTGATAAGAAACTTGGGTTTGCTGCTCCTTTGCACATGGCGTGTGGCTTTGTTTGGGCTGGCTTTGAGTTTTTTAAAGGCTTCCCCCGCCGTTCCACCCGGGTCGTGCTGCAGTCGTTTTGGACTCGCCCGGAGGCTGTGGCTGGATGACGTTCCAAAGCACAGCCGGAGCACCTCAGCAGATACTCCGCAGTATTTCAGCGACATCGAGTATGCAGAAGAGCGTTCGTGCAAGAGGTGGATGTTCCCAACAGAAGCGCTGGTTGCACAAGCGTTTCCGGTGCACCCGCACCAGTTGAAGGCTTTCAAGAATGGCGGTGTCAAGCTTTGCAGCTTCCACCTAGAGCGGAACAAGACAGAGACCTGTCTGAACGATCAGCTCAGGTCGCAAATGAGTCAAATGAGGTTGCATGTTGCATCAAGTTGCAGTTGCAGCATGAGCTACTAGCACGCCTGCCGCATAGCCAGTGTGCCAGTGAGTCGTTGAGTCGTTGAGCTTAGACGTCGAGCTGCCCCCAGTCAGGCACGGAAGGCAAGGTCCGTCATCAATCAGGCAGGGAACTCCATGAACGTCATGTGCACCTACATCATCCATTTGCATGGTGCTTCGTGCTGGATCCAGACTTCAGAGACAGACAGGACCGCCGCATGGGAACGATTACATGTGCATGTGAATGTGCATGTGCGTTGCGCGTGTCAGTCTGTCTGTTTGTTTGTGCTTCTGTCTATGAGTCCGCGTCCATCCATACGTCCTTGGGTCCGTCTGCGTGTCTGTCTCTCGGTCTCTGTTTGTGTCTCGGTCTCTGTCTGTGCCTGCGGTGTGCATCTGCCTGCGTGTGTGTGCGCGCGGTGTGCGGGTACTGTGTCTGTGTGTGTGTGTGTGCTGTGTGTGTGTGTGTGTGTGTGGGTGTGGAAATTGTGTGGGAGTACGGGTGCACGGACGTGTGCGTCGGTGTGTACTGGGGGGGGGGAGGGGTTGGCGGGTTTGGCTGTGGCTGTGACTGTACGACTTACTCGTGTACTTGTGACTTAGACTCGTGCGTCCTTGTTGGTCCAGTAGGTGGCATGCGACCTGCATCCGTGGCTGATGATTCTGATGTGATGAGTTTGGGTCAGTGTCTCGGTGTGTGTGTTCGTGATTCAAGGACGCACATGTAGTAAAATGAAGGAAAGTAAAGTTGAGCTGTGCGTTGGCTGCGTATCCGTGTATGACACCTGTGCCTGTGCCTCAAACAGGATTGTGGCAGAAGTATCGCTCTTCAACGAGTCGGTGAGGAGGGCGGCCATGCTACAGAACCCAAGGGCGCGCAGCCAGGGCGGCGGCGGTGGCGCTGAGCCTGTGAGGAAGCGCCACAGGTGCAAATCGCGGCCAGGACCTGGAGAATGACTCGTGTGGAGTCGGAACGAAACAGATTCAGAGTGGACTGGACTGTCAGCGACAGCTACGTGACGTGTGTGCTCCTGATGAGCCTGATGAGGGTGTGGTGACGTGATGCTGCGCACGTAGAGGCAGTGGGCACAGTTTCACCTCTGGCTCTGCGACTGTCTTCTTTTTTGCGCTGATTGCCCAAGGAACCATGGACAAAGCCACAACAGACAACATGTGACAACAGACCCCGTTCCATTTGCATTGTTTCATGTTCCATGGGCCATGGGCCATGCGCTACATGTCATCATGTCGTCACTACCATGTCACCATGTAAGAACCCTGTAACGTCATGCAGAGCATGTCTGATTTGGTTTGACATGGCAGTGGATGCCGCAATAACAGAACAGAATGCTAAGACATTAAAGTGCTCTGCCAAGGCCGACCACAGCCCACTCTTTCTCTCCGGCTGCAAAGTGGCGTTGGGAGGTGCTCATATCACTGATACTTAGAAGATTGGAGCTGTAAAGGCCGTAGTGGTCGTGCTTGCCGAAATTGATTCCTTTTCTTACAGCTAGCTGCTAACTGAAGCCACACAGCCAAATCCATAGTTATCACGATTGTCACGATTGTTCTTTGTTCAGTTTGTTGATGTGTGCGTTGGGGCCGTGGCTTGTCTGGGACAGGCTGCGGCCTGCGGCATCTGCGGCGTCTATTGCCTGGCGCTTGGCTGTCGTTGTTTTCGTCTACTGCCGGCCACAGCACTCAGTTCTTCCAGTAGTCAAAGCCAGCACTGCAGTGTGTTATCTGTCACGCGAACTTGCTATGCCATGGGCTGTGGACTGGACGTGGACAGTGCTGCTGCACCGTACTGCATGACACATATCTGCCCTGCCTTGCACACGGATTTCACGACAGCATAAGAAAGTACCATGAGTCAATGAGTCAAGCTTCGTGCGGGAGCTTTGTTGCTGGCTGTTGTGTAGCCCACTGCCCGCCACTGCCCATTCAGGTGCACATTGTCACGATCATGTGATCTCGGATCTCGGGTGCTTTGGAGTTGCTAAACCCCTGGCAGCAAATTTTCGGCTGATCCGTAGTCTACGCGAGACTGACCTGACAAGTCTTTTCAGTCTCTTCCCTCCGCGTGCGGGCTACGGCTATGTCGTCGCTTCCAGACAGCATCGAGGCGCTCGTTGGCTCGGATGTGACCGGTGCCATGAGAATCGAAAAGATTTTTGAGATCTTCGGTGACCCCAAGCAAGAGTATCACGGCTGTCCAATGCTTGGGAATAGCAAGCCATGTAAATCAACATGGCTCCCGATGTCCGTGATAGTGACCCTGATGTTTTCGTGTTTCAGTTGACTTCGAGGTACATCACGATCCCGTGGTTCGACGTCGCCGACGGGAAACCAAACATCATCGCTGATCCACTCAACAGACCTTTGCAGCAATCGACCGTCAAAGAGTATGAGCAACGACTGCTGAAAAGCGGTCTCGCAGCGGACTGCTCAGGTTGGGCAAGCACGTAAAGTAAAGTAAACATATCGCGGTCATGTCGCGCCCGTCACACCATGATAATGTTGCTTCGTGTGTTTCGCAGCGCTCACAAATTGCAGCTTTGCAGAGTGTGGTTGTATACTGTATACCGGTATAGTACGGTTGATGATTGATGATTTGCGATATGTTTAATGGAATAACTAGTCTATGTATTGTTGCTGAAACAGTGTCAGTGTTTGTGTGTGTATGAGGTGACGGACGATTCAATTTTGCTGTTGACATGCATTGTTGTTGACTCATGTTGACTCGTTGACTTGTCATTGTTCATTTGTACAGTGTGAGAGTGTGAGACAGTGTGTGACGAGTTTGTGACTTGTGATAGCCTGATGATGATGATGAGGCTGGGCTGGTTTGCTAGATGTGAAATCATATGGCAATCGTACGTGGTCGTGACGGTCGTGCGTCAGGCATATGCAAAAAACAAGCAAAACAGGAATCAACACGGTGAGTCACGGAGTTCGGTGCGACGGTGCTGCTTTGAGTCACTAAGACTAATCACATTAAATCGTCGCTGAATCATCCCTGGTTCAAGTCCTGGAGCCCTGGTTGCTGCTGCAGTAGTGGTGGCAGTGGTAGTCTGGTTCTGGTTGCTGCTGCAGTGGTGGCAGTGGTATTGGCTGCGCCAAGAGTGTCACTGTGTGTCACTGCCCTTGCGGCCCTTGCTCGTCGCCTTCCCAGGGCCTTCCTATCGCCACGTCGCAGGTGTGCCAGTGCCTGTGTGTTTGTGTGTTGTCAGGCTGGCTGTCAGTCATGTGTGCCTTATGACTCATGTACCATGTGCCTCATGCTGCCTCATGTAACAGACAGTAATGTAACAGACAGTAATGCTAAAGCAAGAGGTTTTGCGTGTACATGGATTCGTCGGGCGTCGAGTCGTACAGTTCAGTAGTACAGTAGTTCCAGGCGCTGGTGGACTGGTGGCGTGCCAACCATGTGCAAGGTAGAACATGTTGAGTCTGTTGATGTTGATAAATGTTGATGTTTGTTGTTGTCGATGGATGCAGTCTGAACAGTCTGAACTCTCAACATGCGCGTTCGCCAGATGCTGCTAGGTATTGCTGGGGGTTGCAGCCAGCCTGTTGCCGCCATAGCAGCCGTGCAGCTACGCTTTGCAGCACGATGGGTCGGTCGGTCTGGTCTGCCGTCATTGCACATGGTTCACAGTTAGATGGCTGTCCCTGCTTGCCACCGTCATCACTGTCATCAGTCATCACTATGGCGGACCATCATTGATCATCGGGAATCATCGGGTCATCGGTCATCTCCTATATTTTCTATAATCACTCAATCTTTAACTGGGCATGCCGCGCAGGACTTCCATGGCTCCGCTGGGGGAAGGGTCCCAAGCAACACAACTACCCTCTGCTTGCGCTCAGTTACAATCATCGCCGCGAGGCCCTGTATGCTTGCGCAAAGCACTCGCCGGAGCATCCGATGGTGAAAATGGCATTGGAACAGGGATTGCAAAGGTGCCGGGTCCTGTCAAAAGACACGCCAGACCACGTAGTGGCGTGGCTGGTGTCGGAACACAACCGACATCACGTCGGAAGTGGCCAGACTGTCATGGGGCAAGTCCACGAAGCTCTCAAGGCAGAAGCTGGCTGGCGCAGACGATGCGCCGACCAAGGCATTACCACAAAAATGACCACCTATCAACGACAGTACGATCAGTGGGTGAGGCAGGAATACTCCTCCAGTTTCGAGTCCATCGCGCAGTTCCAAGAAGCCAAGTCCTTTGGGCACAGTCTCCAGACGTTCGAATTGCTTGAGTCCTTCGAGGCGCGAAGTTTTGGAGATATCTGTATGTTATGTGTGTGCATGCGTGGGCGACAGTGCAGTGCACACACACTCGCACACACACACACACACACAGACAACACTCACACACACCATGCGCCACCCACACATACACTGCTACACACACACACACACACAATGTCACAAGGCACACCACACACCACAGCACAAGTGCCGCCGGACACCATCCCACACAGACACCCGCAGAAACACAGCGCTGCCACACCACACCACCTTCATGCACACCAGATGCCACTGCAACACAGTCTCTGTTTGTTTGTCCGTTGGTCCGTGTATGTGTATCTGTGTGTCTGCCGCCTTGCTTGGGCGAGCGAGTGTGCATCTGTGTATGTGAGCATGCGTAATGCGTGCGTGTGGGTGCATGTGTGGCTGTGTGTATGCGTGTCTGTGTGTCTGCTGTCTCTGTAGGCAGCGTGGGCATGCGGCACGTGCCATGTAGTTCTGTGATAGTCACGGAGTTACATGCTGTCACAGGTGAATTCGAGGGCCTGCGTGCCTCTGTGCTAGCTCACGGTTTGCCGTTTGGATGCTGATTGATCGAAGGCATGGCATCTGGAGCACGGCGACTTCTTGATGTCAGCATCCACGCCAGCTTCATGCATTGCTTGCTTAAATCAAATGGTACAGGTCGTTATGAAGGCCATGTGATGAAACATTACATCCCTGCCCTTTGTACACACGTTGCTTGAACAGTTTTACATGTGTTAACACGTGATTTTGGCATGAGCCCAATTTCATGGAGCACATTGTGAATTGCAGAACTCCGCTACGTACCAGGCTCTGAGTTGTGGAAAAGTCCGATTACGTTTTCATGGTAGCGGAGCTGGGCCGACCCAGCTTCGAGACACGTGAACTTTCTTTGGGTCCTGTTCAGGGGCCATCGGGCTTGAACTTTTCGCTTTTGACTTTTGGTGTTGAGGGCCTAGGTGTGTAGTCACCTGCAGCCCCGATCCGCCCGCGCTTCCTCTCGGCAGCACGGCTGCCTCTTTGGCCTCTCTGGAGGCTATCAAGGCCAGAGTTACTGAACTGCATCTTGAGCAGCTGCTACAGCGTGAACGCCCCGCTGGCAGATCTGCTGAAGGGTGGCAGAATATCTTGAGTACCGCCCAACGTTCGCTGGAGGCGAACTTGGCTTCTCTGGAGACTACTCAGCAAGTGTGGGACTTTGCCCACCGGTGTTTAAAGGACAGCCACCTTAAAGAAGTTTTCCGGTTCTTTGCAGTTGACGACGTGTGTGACGAAGCAATCCCTGAAGCCTTGATACACGACACAGTTTTTGCGACAGAGGAGCGCGAGTTGTTTGAGCGAGATTTGGAAGCCTTTGGTTTTTCAACAGGTGCTGCTTCGAGTGAGGCCGCGTTCTCCGAACTGCAGGCCCCTCCGGATCAGCCGATCGAGTTGCAAGGGCCCGAGCCCCGACGCACATTTGGTGCCAATCTGTGTTTGAACAGTTGCAAGGAGGTGATTGATATTGATTGATTGCCCTGCTTTACAGAGCAATGGCGAATATTGGAGATGAGACGGATGAGGAGCTTACAGGCCCCCCTGGAGCCACCGCCTCAGCGCACGGAATGGGTCCTGCGCCTTTCATGCAGCCACCGCCTACAAACCCTTTTCAGCCAACGAGCCCTACCAATGCTGGAAGTGAAATTGCTATGACAGCTGCCGACTTGAGAGTCCTTATGCAACGCATGTCGGAGGCCACACAGGCTGCCAGTGCGGCTGCTCAAGCCGCCGCTTTTGCAAGCACGGCCCAAGGTGCTCGACCTATGGGTGTTGGAGATCTGACCAAGGTGCTACCGAAGCCGGATCCGTTCCGGCCCACTACGAGAGATGAGGAGTTTGCGCAATGGCCTCAGTGGAGCTGGACGTTTGAACAGTATTTATCGTGCTTGGAACCAGAGTTCAGCAGCGAGCTTCGTGAGTATGGCCGGCAGCAGACAGCAGTGATCTTGAGTTCTCTTGATGATGGTGCCAAGCGGCGGTCTCGGCTGCTGTACGGCATGTTGAATGGCCTACTGTATGAACGCGGCAGGCGACTGTTGCGATCTGTTCAGGATCAGAACGGGTTTGAGGCATGGAGACTGCTCAGCAAAGATCTTATGCCAAAGACCCGCAATCGAGTTTTAGCTTTGCTGCGTACGATCAACAGCTGGCCGTCTTTTGCGGCCCAACAAGGACTTGCCCAGCAGCTGCTGCGACTTGAAAGCGCCTTTGAGGAGTATGAGCGCCTCGAGCCAGGCGGTCTCCCGGAGAACAACAAGATGGCCACTCTCCTCAGTTGCTTGACAGGCCAGCTCCGTCAGCATGCCAATGTAGTCATATCTGACGACAGCACGTACAGTGATTTGCGTGAGCTTGTGCTGCGTTGGGATGGAGCTAACACGAAGTGGCAAACCAGTGTTGCTTCGAGTTATGGCCTGAGTGATGGAAAGAAAGGCTTGCATGATACCGGCGATGTTGCGCCGATGGATATAGACCGTGTGTATGCAAAAGGTGATAAAGGCAAAGACCGCAAGGGCAGGCCCAAAGGCGGCAAAGGCGACAAAGGCAAAGACGGCAAGGGCAAGCACAACAAAGGCAGCAAAGGCGATGCAGGCAAAGGCGACAAGGGCAAGAGCAAGGGAGGTAAGGACAAAGGTGGCAATGCAAAGGGCAATTGGCCCTCCGTGTGCAGTTGGTGCCAGAAGCCGGGGCACTACAAGCGTGACTGCTTTCAGTTCAAGGCCTACATGCAAGGCCATCAGAAAGGTGCCCGGCAGGTTCAGGCCAACTCTTCTGCAGCGTCCGATGCCGGCACTAGCACGACTGCCCCATCTTCTGCGAGTGCCCTTCAAGCCCAGCAAGGCAAAGCAGGACAGTCCACCGTTCGCCGTGTTGCGGCTGAGCCACTTGTTTTCGACATGTCAGACCTGGAGGATCCGTTTCCTTATGAGCCCAATGTCTGTATGATCACTGTGACTGCGCCACAGAGTTATGCAATGGATTCCCAGGATGATGATGACCAGTGGACCCTGCCTCCTGATGACTATGCTGTGCTTGACTTGGCGCCGAGTCCTGCTACTGCGTGTGTTCGAGCAGTGACTGACGCAGGCCAGTGTGTGATCATCGACTCGGGTGCCGACATCTCTTGCATCCCTGAGACTTTTCAGTCTTGTGGCCGTGCCGCTCGTGCACGACCGCTGCAGGTTCAAGATGCCCAAGGGGGCGCGATGAAGATTCAGGCCGAACGGTTGATAGAGTTTGTGCTGTTTGGTGGGCCCCGGCCCGTGGTCATTCGTGAACGCTGCATTGTGGCAAAGGTCACCCAACCACTGTTAAGCCTTGGACGACTCATGCGTAAGGGATGGTGGCCTATTCGCCAAGGTCAAGGTGACAATGCAGGCGCAGGTCCTATGTGCTTGCGCCACCCACGGAGTGGTGCCGAGGTGCCCCTGCTGTTCAAAGGCTACTCATTGGCCGTGAATGCTCAGATCCGTCGTGTGGAGCATGAGGGCCAAGACTTGATGTACTACAATCCAGGTGCAGGTGAGGTCAACAACCACTCTGAGGACGAAGTGAGCGAGAGCGAGGTCCGTGATGCCAACAGCCAGGTCCGTGATGCCAACAGCCAGGTCCGTGATGCCAACAGCCAACAGGTTCGTGATGCCAACAGCCAACAGGTCCGTGATGCCAACAGCCAACAGGTTCGTGATGCCGACAGCCAACAGGTCCGTGATGCCGACAGCCAACAGGTCCGTGATGCCGACAGCCAACAGGTCTGTGATGCCGCATGCAGTCATTCCCAGTTTCAGGTCACAGGTGAGGTCCAAGAGGTGTGCCCAAGCCAGGTGCAAGTTGCGTCCATCCAGGTGCGTTTTGAGGCTAAGACGCTTGAGTCTCTCGATTTCGGATGGCAAGTCAGTTCGTCTGGTCACCTGGTGTGGAGAGGTCGCACAAGTAGGTTTGTCGATCCGAGTTTCATGGCGCCAATCGGCTGGCCTCTCAGGAGCACCCTCATTTGCCGCAGTGGGACTTGGTTTCTGCTTGAGCACTGCGTGCCGTGGGCTGACTTGAAAGAGGTTGAAGCCGTTTTGCCCGGAGGTCAGGTTGCTGAGGTAATTTCATTTTTGCACGTGCAGGTTGAGCCCGTGTCAGAGATAGGTGTGCAGCTCCCTGCAGGCATGACCGAACCACAAGGTCTGCCAGAGCCAGATTTTTATCATTTTCGAGCAGAGACTGAGCAAGCGCCTGTCGGGACAGTTGAGCATGATCGTGTGGTGCCCGATGATGAGGCTATGCAAGGCCTAGAGGATGCAGCTGGACAACCGAGCCCAGCGCCAATGCCACTGCCCGACCAGTTGGAAGCTGGAGAGCCAACCGACAATGTCGAGCCGCTGAGCCTTGATGGTGTGCTCATTGCGCATGACTCCAGCCTAGCTGTTCTGAAAACTGCGGCAGCCAAGCTGAACCTTAGTACGGCTGGCTCCAAGTCCCGCCTCTTCAGCCGTGTCAAGGGATATCTTGAGAAGCAGCGTTTGGCCTTAGAGTTGGAGCTTGCTGCCGATGCTCAGTCCTCAGGTGAGAGGCAACCCAGGGTTCAACCGGTCGCAGCCGCGCCCACCGAGGCAGAACGATTCCTTCATGAGTGCACCCACGTGCCTTTCAAGCCATGGTGCCCACACTGCATCAGCATGCGAGCAATGCCCGATCGGAGTGAGTACTTGAAGGAGGGCCCCCGCGACAACCCAATTATTCAATTTGATTTTTCATTTTCAGGGTACAGTGTGCCAGACGGCATTTGCAACCTCGATGCAGCTCCTGAGGACTCCCAGCGTGCACTTAAGTGCCTTGTGGCACATGACAGCGCTACTGGCATGATCGCAGCGATTCCATGTGAGTCCAAAGGCGACACAAGGTACCTAGGCATCGAGCTTATGAGGTTCATCCAAAGCCTCGGTCACACCACCGTGACCCTGAAGTGCGACAACGAGCCCTCCACTCTGACTCTGCAGCGAGCTATCGTCACGGCTCGGCAACGGCTCGGGTTGCAGACGCTTGTTCAGAATCCTGCCATAGGTGCCAAAGGTTCCCTAGGCTTTTGTGAGAAGGCCATTGACTCGGTGCGGAAGCTTGCAAACACTTTGCTTGATCAGGCTCGTCACCGCACCGGCCTTCCCCTGCCTACAACGCATGTTCTGTTTGCCTGGGCTTTTGTGCACAGTGCGTGGCTGCTCAACAGATACAGAGTGATTGGCAACATGACAGCCTATGAAAGGGCCTGTGGGGCTAAGTACAGTGGGCGAATTGCGCCGTTCGCCGAACCGGTTTACTGCCAGCTTGATGTTAAGCAGAAAGGCGACAAGCGGTGGATGCTTGGAATCCTGGTGAGCAAATCCTCGCTCAACGACATGTACATCATTGCTGGCAAGGACGGAATACGACTGTCACGATCCATCCGCCGTGTGGGTCAACCTTGGGAGCTTGAAGTGCAGCTCTATCGTGAGCTGAAGGGCTACCCTTGGGATTATGGAAGTGGTGTTATAGGCACCAAGTTTGTGGCAATGCCGAAGCAACGGCCAGCGGCTGTGGATCCAGTGCGGGATGTTGCACCGCCAAGGTCCCCTGATGAGGCTGCGAGCGAGCCTCCAACACCTGCAGTTGAGGCACTTGGGATGCCGGTTACGCCGTTGGGCGGGGCCGGAGCAATGGCGCCACCGAGGCGCAATGTGCCTCCTCCTGAGAGTGCTCGAGCAATTCCAGATGAGAGCATGGCTGGTGTTGAAGCTGAGCCTCCGGGGCCCAATCCTGCAATGAGGCCCGATCCACCTAGCACGCCTGAAGCAGAACTGCCACCGTTGAAGAAGCTGCGCATTCGTGCTGTGACTTTTGGTGAGCAGTCCTATGAAGTGAACGATGAAGGCGAGTTTGATTTGGACCAGCCCGACGGCTGGGAAGTGCAGACCAAGCTGTGGTCCATGGAGTCCGAGACGGACGACAGTTTCATGAATGAGGTGAAGGCCAATCCCGAAGCGGAAGTGGCCGAAGATGATGACAGACTGTGGTTTCCCGACAATGGAAGGGAGCCAGAGCTCGATGATGCCATTTTGGCCGAGCTTGACAACCTTGCTGATCAAGTTGAGGTCAGCAGACTGCTGAAGAAATCTGTGCTAAGACATGCCACGGGTGATGATGATCTGGGTTCGATGAAGAGCCTCACTACAAAGTTTGTTCGAACGTGGCGGCACAAGAAGCGGAATGGGGTTCCTTCATGGTACCGCCGATCCAGACTGTGTGCTCGGGAGTTTCGGTGGTTGGATGAGTCCAAAGAAGGGTTGTTTAGCCCTGCTACAAGCACGGACATTGTGCGCCTCATCCCGGCGCAGTGGCTGAATTGGAAGCAATCGCGGCCATCCGAGCAGTATGCCATTTTGGCGCTCGACGTGAAAGATGCATACCTTGAGGTTCCCCAGCCGACGCCAGTGGTTTCCAAAGTGCAAGGTCAAGACCTCGTGTTCATGCGAATGGTTCCGGGGCAACGTGAAGGATCACAACAGTGGTTCTCACACTTCTGCGAGTATCTCGGAGAGCACTTCGTGATTGAAAAGTGCAAGGAGTGCCCTGCGGTAGTGCATGTCAGCAGCAAGCCAGGATCTGATGGAGTTTGTGCAGACAAGGGTCCGGGCATGATCCATGTTGATGATTCCTTACTTCTTTTGCCGCTCCAGTGGGCCCGCGAGTGCTTTCTTCCAGTGATTGAACAGCGATTTCAGATCACGTATGAGCTTGCATATGAGGTGGGTCACTCTTTCAGTTTCCTCAAGCGTGAGCATACGATTACAGAACAGGGTATTGTGATTCGGCAACCCTCTTCCTACATTGAGCAGATGAAGCAGACCATGAATGTCACGCAAAACAACCGACAACGGGTTCCATGTTGGAGTGAACTTCGTGCTAAGGACACCACCCGTGAGCTCAACCACACCGATGCAAGCAAGTTTCGACAAGCAGTGGGAACAGCCTTATACATATCTTGCGACCGGCCCGATGTGGGCTATGCTGTGCGCATGCTTGCAAGCTACATGGCGAGGCCGACTGAGCATGCAAAGGTTGGTTTGATCAAGCTGATCCAGTACCTTATCAACACATGTGATTATGGGATCCTGATGAAGTTTGCCGCTCCTGGGACAAGGAAACTGAACGGTTATGTGTATGATTCTGGTTGTGCAGATGACGCTGAGCGTAATGTACTGGAGGTGTTTTCGGATGCCGACTGGTCAGGGTCGAAGAAGGATCGTCGATCATATGGTGGAGCGAGTTTCTGTGTGAACGGACAATATGTCCACTACATCTGTAGATCTCAGAAGTGCATCAGTTTGAGTTCGATGGAAAGCGAGTACTACAGTGCTGTGGGAAGCGCGTGCCAGGGGCTGTTCATGAAGGCTGTGATCGAGTTTATGAGCCGGAGCCCCTGCGACCTGATCCTGTATGTTGACAACCAATCGTGCAAGGCCTTCTGTTTGCGTCAGGGAGTTACAAAAGCCAGCAAGCATTTCGAGGGCCGGCTATTGTGGTTGCAGGACATTGTTCAGCAGAAGCGGCTGGTGATGAAATACATCTCGACCCACTTCAATTTAGGAGACCTGCACACCAAGCCACTTTCCCCAAGCCGATTGCGAACTCTACTGTTTCTTCATGACTTTGTGGACTACCACTCAAGGCCAATCGGGGAGAATGAGTGGGAGCACACGTGCACTGCGGCGACGATCCGAGCTCAGGTCAAGCGTGTTCGTACAGTGGCAGGCAATGACATGTCGAACACGTGGGTTAAGCGAGTGGCAATGCTTTTGCTTATGATGCCGATTCCTGCGGAAGCGAGTGCAGTGACAAGTGTCAACATGAGTGCATGCTTCTTCCTTGCAGTGCTTGTTTCGATGTACATGACAGTGTATGCAATGGAGAGCGCGGCAGAGCATGGTGCCAATGGTGGTGATGAAGGATGGCTGTATATTGCAGCGCCCGGCGGGCCGTGGTACCGTCGTGGGGCAATGTATGCCGCTTGTGTTATGATGGCGACAATTGCTTGGAGCCTTGGGTCAATTTCGGCCGGTTTCTTTCGTGATGTGGAGATTGAATCTACCACTACGACTACGACAACGACGACAACGTCAAGCAGCCATGATATGATTTCTTTTATGCTTCTTTGCGGGCTGCTGTGCATACTTGTGGCACTGAGCATTTTGCTCGTGCGCACTCGGTGTGCGCTCAATCGAGAGCGCACTGAGGTCCGAGAACTTGGAGCTTTGTGTTCGGCTCTATGGGATGAGCAGAAGGACGATAAGAGAGCGCTTCACGAGCTGAAGCGCGAGAATCGTTCATTGCGGGACGAGAACGCGATGATACAACTTGAGTTCTATGAAATGCCTCACGGAAGGCAGTGTGCAATGCGTGATGCTACCACGCAGACATGATGCCATTTGCGGTCACCAATTCCCTTTACGGTGGCCAGGCATGTGAAAACTGAGAGCCCGTGTTACGTGCGCCAGGCTTTGCGGTGCACAGGGCGTGATGAGGAGTGAGTTTCACTTGAGTTTCAGTGAGCTTCGTAGTGTACTGTAGCCAACTAGCGAACCTCAGGCGGGGTGATGAAACATTACATCCCTGCCCTTTGTACACACGTTGCTTGAACAGTTTTACATGTGTTAACACGTGATTTTGGCATGAGCCCAATTTCATGGAGCACATTGTGAATTGCAGAACTCCGCTACGTACCAGGCTCTGAGTTGTGGAAAAGTCCGATTACGTTTTCACCATGAAGGGGTTCTACCCCAAGAATGAGATCAAGCTTGTGATGCTGGAGTCCCTCAAGTTTTGCGTTGCTCTCACGAGATTTATTTGCAGAGCTAGTTTTAGTTTTAGGCTTCAGGTGCATCAGCATTATGCAGGCGTGTGATTTCGTGTGAATGATTGCTGCATCTGCATCCCGCATCCCTTCTACTGAGCTGCCGCATGTTAGCCGCATGTCGCATGTCACATGATGCTGCATGTTGCACTGCATGGTGCTCTTGCAATCATTGCGCGTGCTTCGTGGCTTGACTTTGCCATTGCCATGTTTGCATTGCTGGCCTACATGTCAGCAGAGGTTCCGAGCTTGGCATCAGGAACACATCGGCCTGTGCCGCACATCTTCGGAAGTGGTGTCGCGGGGGCCAGCAACGATGAGCGAAAGCTTGCAATGTTAAACCTGCTGACGCCCATGGGCGAATCAGTCACATTCAAGAAGATGCTGAAGCGGCAGGCCTTGCATCATCACCTTACATTCTATACACCGTTTTGGCCGTTTAGGGGTTTGTTATTTATGGGGGGCTGTGCCTGTTCAGCGTCGTTGGAACGTAACCCCGAAGCCAATCCACTCTAGCCACTCTTATCTAATCACTCAACAGGCTGTCGAGGCAGAGGAGCAAGAGGCAAAGGATCGTGTCAACGCCGGCGAATCGTTCGAGTCATGCAAGGATCCAACAGAAAAGCCAGAGCCAGGTGCACCCACAAAGCAGCGAAGGCTTTCAGCTACCGGTGCCATGGATGTCGATGCTGCAGTGCGAACGATGCAGGAAAACAAACGAGACAGGCAGGACAAAAAGGCACAGAAGCAGCTGAAGAAAACCTTGAAGAAAAGGAAAGCCGGTGATGATGTGGAGGAGGCAGTGAAACAGGCCACAGACGTGGACATGCAGGATATGGACAATTATAGTGCAGGTGCAGGATCTTTGGCGGCCCCGGTTGGGGTGGTGACAGGCAAAGATGGGCTCAAGACCCGCGGTGGCAGCGAAGCGACTGCCTTCACCACGCGGCTAAAGGCCACAGGTTCGGGCAGCGAGGAGCGAGAGAAGTGTGCCCTGGACGATTTCCTTTCAGCCCTCGCGTTCGCAAGGACCAATCTACCATACACGGTTTCCGACAAGGAGTTCACAAGCACCAAGGAGTTCCTGGTGTCACTCTTCTTGGAACTGTGCTGGACAACTTCGGTGGCAGTCAATGGAAAAGCGTTCAAGGTCTATTCGAAGTTCAGGCAGGAATGCGAAAGACTGGTGTATGCTTCACACCAAGAAAAAATCAATTTTGGAGAAAAGCAATTCAATCCATTGGCGCTTGCCTCGAACCTGCTCGAGCTTTGCAAAGCACCCGTCAGGGGCTTACTTCCTGAACTGTTAGTTCTTGCGCTGACTTGGTCCACAAACCGTGTTGTGATGCGCATCTAATCTCGTAGTCACTGGCACTCCGTGGATATGGTGGTGCTCATAGTCAGTAGTGGTCGGCGGTAGGGTGGTAAGTCGGTCAGTAGGAATCGAGTGCTAGACCGACAGAGTCGGTCTTCTGCGTTTTCTGCCTTCTGTCATGATGCCGCTGCCTGTCTTCGTCGCTCCTCTGTGAGATGCCCATTCATTGGCCCATGCATTCCATGCATGCTCGGGCCCATAGTTCGTGTGCAAGAGTGCCTGCCTGGAGTCTATTTCTTTAGGACTTTAGGACTAGGACTGGGGCAGTTCTGCATTCAAGTCAACCTGTGCCGTGCCGGCTCCGTCGCACGTCTTCTCAATCCATGTGCATGAGGCTGCTTGAGGGTCTGCAGGAGGATATCGGATGAGGGACGAGGGGAGTTTGCTGCAGTAGGCCATGTGGGCCAAGCGGCCATCAGTCAATGAATGTGCGTCATGCCTCATGCTTGTTAGGCTCGGCTGTCACTTGTAGTCTCTCTGTCTGCTTGTCGAGTCAAGTCTACCTGCCCTGCCTTGTCAGTGAGTCATCGTGATTCATTCCGGATGCCTGTGTACTGCTTATGCCAATCGCAAGAAGGTCACCATGACGATCGATGGTGCCGACGATAACGCAAGCAATGAAGAGATGATCATGCTCGTGATCAAGAACTTTGACAAGCATCAATCTGAGCAACTCAGAGCATTCGTCAGCAACGAGCTCCCCAAACCTTCCGCATTGCACACCGGCCTCAGCAAGTTCAGGGTGGACTTGAATAGCAAACTCTCACAGTTCGTCGAGCTTCCCGACCTGGCTGCTCAGCTGGAGCTCTTGCTCGAAACAATGGGGAAGAGCGGCGCGGCCCCATCGTCTTGGATAGCCTACGCGTCGGCCGTGTCATGCCAGTTGAAAGTCGCCGGGGTGTTTCCTGAAGGTTCGCAGGACATCTTCGTCACAGAGGGCAATCTGGGTGCAATTTGTGGGCTTCGGGCAAGGTACACTATCCTGGCATTGCGCAGCCTGCTGGATTTGCGTGTTCTCAAAGTGCAACCGGCGTGTGCCCGAATGTTGCAGCAGATGGTTAATGCCGTTGACGCTCCTGAGCTTGCTGACCACTCCTTGGTCACCTGTTCTCACGATTTCGGAGCAGCATTGGCTGGATTCGATTCGGCGGCTTGGAGTAATATTTATGTTGTTGCTTTTGTAATTGGCTGACCATACGTGGCATGCAAGATGTGATGTGGCAGTGATGTGGCATGGCATGCAATGTATAATGTAAACCGTGTGTCGTGTCTGTTCTCTTCCGGGGTTTGTAACTTTGCAACAATGCATAGGCACGCATGATCAGCGCAGTGTGGCAGCGTGGTTTGTCGTTTGTTTACAAGTTTAGAGCAACCATCAGCCGGCAGCCGTAATGTGACATGTGGAGTGGCGCGGATTGCCCAGTGGACTGCTTGTCAACTTGTCACTTGACTTGTCCATGCGAAACCGTGCCGGATTGTTCTGTGCAGTCTCTGCTGCAGCTGTGCCTTTGCCCAGGTGCTCTCCCAATCACAAGATGCTGACTGGGCAGCGAAATGGTGCAACATGTTCTTGAATGCAACTTCCTTGTCAGAGGCCACGAAGATTCTGCGCGAGTCGTGCGGCGTGACAGCCGAGATCGAGACAGGCGAAGCAGTGGTGCCAGCCACGCCCACGGCAGATGGAGACAGGGACACGGTGACGAGCCAAGTCAGCCGGATGATGAATGCCGCAGGAAGCCCTTCAAAAGCCAAACGAACCAGTGCACAGGAGCTGGACGATGAGGACGAGCCTGAAGATGAGGATACGCAGCGATGCATGCTGCTCATGATGATACTGTGATACTCATGATGGTACACAGGTCACATGATGCTAGGCATGGCTGCATGCTACTGTGGTCGTGACTCGTGTTCTTGAGTGGTAGGGCCGCGCTTGCAGATCCTGCCTGCATCTTGCACTGCATATTGCTGCTTGATTCACTAATGCCGCATGCCTGCCTGCTTGTAGGTCACTTGTAGGTAGTAGCAAAGCCGCTGCTGAGCTGCTGCATGCATGCATCCATTTACAGATTTACAGACTTCCTAGACAGGGCCAGCTCTCATGTCTCATGTCCCATGACTGTCGCGTGACACGTGTTTATCGTGGTTGGCGGGTTCGTCACTCGTGACGTCATGTTTAATGTTTATCCCAGGCGAATGATTCACTAATGCCTGCTTGTAGTAGGTAGTAGCAAAGCCGCTGCTGCATGCATGCCAGCTCTCATGTCACATGACCACTGACTGTCACGCGTGTTTATCAATCCTGATTAGAAGTTCTGATTCCACACTGATAATTCTCAAAGGACGTGGTTGGCCAAGAGGTCCGAAGTATGCAGAAGAGCCTCTGCAAGCCCTTGATCAGCCTTGCAGACATTCACAAAGCCCACGTGGGGGTGTACGATGACGGAGGGCTTCATGATGTACTCAGAGACTGGGATGCCTTTGGAGAATTCCTGGTTCAGAAGGATGATGTCCAGTCGGAGTTGGGCGTGCGCATCGATGCAGTGTTCCTGAAGGCTTTGTGGCAGTGCACAGATGTCACGGTCGCACCCACACAGCACAGACGCATGTCATGTCCAGTTCAGAAATTGCTCAAAACCACGATCCGCAATGGCCCATGGCTATATCAAGCTATAGTCAGCATGCATGACATGACTTGATGTTCCTCTGCAACGTTATGTCTGAATTGTGAGTTCCATGGTCTGCCAGTCTGCCAGTGTCTGCGACTGCTGCTTGTGTGCAGGCGATCTGCAGGGGGCTCGAATCACTCCTGTGGCGGCTTTACGCCAACACAAAGGAAAAGTCAGATGCTCACGTGTTTCTGGTCGCAGATGCTGCTGCTGCGGCCACACGGGAAAGGGTAGTGCTGTGCCACGCGCCGGACGACATGGAATTGCCTTTCGTAGGACCTGTCTCGCTCAACAAAACCCCGCAGTCCCTGATGCTGCTCCAGTGGGGAGGCGTGGAATTCTTCGTGAATCCGCCTCCATCCCCGCCAGCCGGGGACGTGGTGGTCCCTGCCTGGCTGGCCAAGCACGCTGGTCCCAAAGAGCGCAGCACGGTGGAATTGAAGTCGGAGGACATTATGATCTACATCTCGAACCATGGCGCCGTCAGCATGACCAAACCCAAACCGCCGCCCAAAAAGAGCCCACCTGCCATGGATATCGGCACACATGCCAATCTGCCCGGTGCAACCCAGGTCACCCAGGAAGGCAAGCAGGCAACACAGGAAAGCCTCCAGGTCACCCCAGAAACCACGCAGCCAGCGCAGAACACCCCAGAAACTTCGCAGCGAGCGCAGAAAGGCACGGCAACCCCCAAACAGAACAAGGCGGAGGTGGAGGTGGTGGACGTGGACTTGGACGACGATGCTCCCGGGGTTATCACGTCATCCAATGAGTCATCCAATGCGAAGCTCGCCGTGCCGATTAAGAAGGAAAAGCCGGTGGAGCGGTGCACTGGTCGCGACCTTTGCGACCAGGAGCTTGGGGCCCTCATGTTTGCTGATGAAAGGACACCTGCAGCGCATTTCAATCCCGACAAGCCCGACAACTCCGACAAGCCTGAGCAGAAGGAGATCTGGAACGAGACAGACATGACTGTCTATTGGCTTCGTGTCCTGAATCTGCTGTGTGTCACTGCACGTGCGCATAGGACGTTTGTAATAAGTCGCGACTTGCTGGCATCGTTCAAGGCAAACTTCGCATTACCCTAGATTGTTGACTCAAAGCTGTCTGTAGCCACCTTGACTGCTGGCTGCTGGCGTATGATGCGTACTATGATTGGTTTGAGCCGTGTCAGCGAGCTGCCTGAGCTGCCTCCTCTAAACCGTTGCCGTAGACCGCTGCTGAAGCCCTGAACCCCAATCAATCAGGTTGCAGTGCGAGGGTGTGTCGGGAGAGCCCGCCGCTTCATTGATTCGAGAGAAGAAGCCGAAGGAGAAGGGCGCGCGGGTCAAAGCAGCTGCGGACGAAGATAAAGTGGTTGCAGCAAGCGGCTTGGGTGCCGTATGCGTCCTTCGCGCGGCAGCAGGAGTGGCAGGATCGAAGAAAAAAGGCGGCGACAAGAAGGATGCAAAGCAGAAGAAGGCAGCCGTGAGGACTGTTCGAGGAGTGCACTTGCTCAAGTAGAGTCGTAGAGATTGCCAGAGGAGTGCAATGAGCAAGTAGGGATTGCCATCAACCACCAATTGTCACACCATTGCATGTGAATGATTGGCTGAGCATGCATGCATGCATTTTGCACGGCACTCACTTGCATGATAAAGCAGCCAAAACCGTACCGAGCCTGGCCCTGGTGTTGAAACGAAAGTCGGACCGCTGACGTAGGTGTCGTAAGTCGTAGTACGTCGTAGTACGGTTATAGTCACAGTATCCTCCGTCCTCCGTGTCCGCTTTTGGCCGGCCGGTGTGGTGGGCTGCCAATCTCTTTCTTAGATGGCTGGCAACCGGCAGACGTCATGCAGTGTGAACAGGCTGCATCATGGGAGAACGATGCATTGAACATTGTTGTGCATTGGTGCAAAGTGCATAGTCATAGTCTGCATAGTGCATTGCTGCATTGTTACATGAGGTGTGGGTTCAACAATCCGTAGTTTAGAGATCTGAACCAGGTCGAAACCGTTGTTCATTGAGTTGTTTATTTACTTGGAGATCTGAGCCAGGATTAAACCGGCAGTTCATTGACCTAGGACCTAGTACTGCGACAAGCTGGAACAGCTGGAACTTGGAACTCTGCCAGCACAGGCACAAAGCTTTACGAGTATTGTTTGATTGAGTTGATGATTTAGACTTTGAATCTGGGAGTTACGTTATGCTGAAGATAGAGTCGTACTGAGTCTAGTCCTGAGTCATGCTAAGTCTGCTACTCGTCATGTCGTCCCGTCTACGTCATACGAACTCAGACAAGTCTAGGCTGCAAGGATACATAATACACTTGGCAGC